TTGACTTCTATTATAGGAAAAAATACAATGGAAGTCAAAAGGTTTTCAGCCTTTTTCAAAGTATCATCTTTTGTGTTCAACAGAGTACCACAGAGTTCAAGAGACCCCAACAGACTTGTGGCAAATGAAGTGATGACAAAAATGTCAATTTTGGGTGAACTATACCTTTAGGTCATGGGTGTTAAACTGTTGGGTGTTCCTGGAGGGTCACAGTCCTGCATAGTTTAGCTTTAACCCTAATTTAACACGCCTGATCAAACTCAGTCCTTCAGGCTTCTTTGAAATCTAGTGGTGAGTGTATTGATCCACGCTGTGGGCCTCCAGGAGTTTGACACCCCTGCTTTAAGGGTTTTAGACGTAACATTTGCAGGACTAGCATACTTCTTTCATGCGTAAAAACAATGGCCGTTTCTTAATTCCAAGAACGCAGAGAATGGACTTGCGCACTTCTGGAGACCGGTCTTGCCAGGTGTCCTCGGAAGAACGAACTCAGGAGAATGCGAGGGCAGAGAATGAGTCCTTTGAGAAATGAGATGCTGCGTTCTTTCTGATGGTCACGTGACCTTCACACGTTTTAAATGGTAAATTATTTAAACATTAAAGCATTCATACAATGATTTATTGTTTTTCCCCTTTTCAAAATTTATACTCTACATAAAAACATTACCAATATACTCTGCACAATATAAATAAAACTGATTTTCATACGAATTTCAGCAAACAAACACCCTTAATGTGTTTATTCATTTATTAAGATGTCCATGAAAATGTTTAGTTTCATTTAGGGAAATAATTTATATCTCTGAACTTTAATAATAAATCTAAATAAATTGCTGCACTTCCCACCTTCAGTCGCAATGACTTCTGGCAATTCCAGAGCGAGGTTGGTGCTCAAGTCTGCATTGTTTCATCCTCGATATCAAGAACACATCTGGGAAGTTTTACGCATCCTCCGTACTTGCGGACTTGAGTATTGGAATTGATCTTAGGTAGCTGATGATGACGTTGCACAAGAACACGAGGACGCAAGACTGCTGAAGAACGCATATTGAGAAACAGCCAATATGTTGCCCTATTTCTTTCCATCATGGAGGTTCAAACACATGACCTCAGTAAATTTGTTATTCTGGTTGAACAAGTGATAAACTAAAAGAGTGATTCTAAAGTAATCTTTAGGGACTTTTATAAACAAAATAACATAAATCCTTTAATTGATTCTTCTCTACAGAAAATTTACTTAGGGATCAGACAAGCCTAATACTTATCAGAACACAATATATAGTTGTTGCACACAGGATTATTAAGTACTAAGTAGTCAACATTTGCATGTACTTAGGTCCTGTCCTTGATCAGCCAGACATGCATAAGCAGCCAAAACACAGACAGCGCCACCTCGAAGAGGCATATTATGTGTATAGCTGTATCTTCTGTTAAATTAGGCTCAATCCCATTTCTATTTTTTTTACCCCAACCCTTTACCCTTGAACCAGTGTGAAGGGGAAGGGCTTCAAATTTTACCCCTAAGAAATGGAACAGCACTCCAACACCTGCACATGTCATCATATGTGATCACAATTCATTACTTCATATGAGAATGATGAGATCGACTGCTGTATTTATTCCAGTATTCCAGCATTATTATTTTTTATTTATTTACAGGATATCACTGAAGGCACTGATGTCATGTTATTACAATGATATAATGTGGCAATAAGATCATAACTGTACTGTGTATTTACACTGTGGCCAAATTCTAAACACACGAAAACAACATTAACATTATACCAGACACTGTAAACAGCACATTCCCAGCCACTAGACTTTTTTGACAGGATATTCGAGTGTCATCGACTGACAGATGTGAAAGTATGTTATGGGACTGCTCTACAAGAGGGCTTATTATCAGGGCTTGACATTAACTTTTTTCATCACCAGCCACTGTGGCTAGTAATTTTCTAACATTACTAGCCATTCGCCAATATCACTAGCCACAATGTTGTTGTTGGGGAAATATATTTTATATGCGTAAATAGGACTTTGACATGCTAAAATTACTTGATTTAGATTTTGTTATATCGACATTCCTCCTCATTCATTTCACTTGTTGTGTGTTGTCTATGAGTTTGCTTAATGAGCATGAGCAAATACATCATGATTTCATAGTGTCATATTACAATTAGTTTTTTATTTCACATCACTTTTTAGAGCTCAAAATGATGAATTTACCACATTTGTCTATGACCACGCCAAACATGAACAAATAATTATTTCTTAGCCACAAATTTTTAATGTGTCAAAACAAGCAAAATATAGCTGTAAACGATTTAATATACATTTCTTTAAAAAACAAAAAAACAATTGACAAAAAATAGTTATGGTCATGTATCTAAAATATGCACAGTAGTCTGTCCATGCTAAAGAACTCAGATCATCAGTTAACTACACACAAATGGGAAGTTAATCTCCCACTAAAGCAATGATATTGTAAAAAATGTTAACAAAATATTAACAAAATATTAACAAAAATAACTAAGTAAAAGAAAGCAGGTGGCAAACATACCGTGAGCGAATGAAAGGATGATCCTTCGCGCATGGTTAACTTTAGGCCAAGGTATTAAACATCTTTTCAAATAATGGTTAAAGCCAAAGCAACCAGTGCTGCTTACAAAAATCTGAAGCTCTTGAAAGCTGTAAGACTGTGGGTGCATGTCTAGTCTATTTGAATGAGAACTGAGCACACCTGTTGCGTTTCTAGGCACGGTTGCTTCACGCAAGGAAACGAGACCGTGCATGCATCAGCTGGCGGCGCGAGTGATCATCCTCTCATTCGGTATTCAACTAATTTATTTTTAACGTGCAAACTATTATTTTTGTCAGTCGTGCTGTTCTCAATTCTAAGACGCCATTTGCACATTTGGCGAGCTAGCGGGTGTTAATGTCAAGCCCTGGTTATTAGTACTGTGAATTATAGATAGCAAAATTGAGCTGTTTTAGTTTTAAGTATGTAAAACATGAACACTATTATGAATGTGCTAAAACATATGGTTGTTTGTTGTAAAAAAAAATCATTATAATGACAAAAATACTACACTTTGTGCATCTCCTTACTTCTGTGTGCAGCCATGCTTCCATTGTAGATGGTTTATTCCTAAAATTTTCATACCTCTTGGTTTCGAGTGTGGTTCTGAAACATCTCCATTTCAAGGGCTATTCAGCCCTTTCCCTTAGCTCTGCACCTTAAAGCTAAGGAGAATTGTAAAGGGGAAGGGCTAAGGGGTAGAACTGGGATTGGGCCTTATTGTGTTAAATTGTGAAATTTGTAATGAGGCAGATGTATGATGTGTCATCAATTTGACTCACCCTTTTCTTTTTCATTTCAAGTATACATTTGAAGAAAGCTGAAAACCCTCAATAGGGTTTATGAATGCACTCTGAAAAGCTGGAAGGGCATCCACCGCATAAAACATTTGCCAGAGAAATTGGCATTCATTCCGCTGTGACTCCTTAACCAAAGGAAAGCAATATACAATCACTAAAGCATTTATTACTGTACATGTATAATATAGGCTACATATTCATTCACTTTTACATTCATTGAAAAAAATCATCAAGTAAGTTTTGGAATTAAACATATTGTACATATCAAATGAATTAAAGGGATAGTCCCCCAAAACTGACAATTCTGTCATTGTTTGCTCACCCTTTACTTGTTTCAGAACTGTTTGACTTCATTTCTTCTGTTGATCACAAAATAAAATATTTGAAGACATCATGAAATCTGAAAATATTCTTAATTAAAGAAACATAGATGATTGGTCTATGCCTATGTTTTCTTCCAAAATCCCATTTGTGGCACAGCAAAGTGTTGTGAATCTTCTCTTAAACTGACACAAGATTTACTGCTCCTCACTTAAAGTACCACTGGGATATAGGACTGGTAAATATTAAGTGGAGCTTTGAGTCAAGAATTGTTTTTACTCTTAAGTCAATTCTTAGCACTGTTCGTATAAGTGTTGTTTATAACTGTTCGTATAAGTGTTGTGTAGTTTACAAAGGCTTGTTGTCAAGACATTTTTTCACTTGAATCATACTAAACCCTTGGAAACTGTAAACCATGGAGAGGGTTCTCCTTAAAATCCAGTTTCCTTTTTAATTGTTTATCTTACGTTTTTACAATTATTTATATATACTGTTTGCACTTGCTCATTGGACTTCAATTTGGTAGAAATCTGTTATATTACAGACCCTATATTTTTAACAGTTAGATGAGGTATTATTAACCATCAGTTACTTATTTTTATTGCCAGTTGTCTAAATTGTGTTTTTTAATATTTTCAAAACTAGTCGAGTGTCATGGAGGCACACCCTGACACAAACGTTGCTAGTTTCTTAAAACTGTGGCTTTAATTAACTATAAATGAACCCCGACCCAATAAACCCAACCCTAACAGAACAAAAAATATGCTGCACTTTCACATTTTCTAAATATTTGTTTTTTGTCTGGATGATTTATGAGGCATTTTTCTTATGGGGACAAACAAAATCTCCCCACAAGGTCAGCAACAACGACTGCCAACAACATTTGATGCCACAATCTGATAAATACAAGGTACACACATAAAATTATTGCTTCTGTAGCTAGTTTTGTTATATATTTAATTCCCTTTTGTGTTCTGCGTATTTGTTTGTACTCTTGTGTGTTGATAGCAGTGAATTTCACGGGCTCTACAACATACTCCACTTATTTTCTTTTTGTTAGAAATTTGTTATAAATGTGTGTTTTTTTGCCTTTAACTCATTTAACTCCTTTTAACTCATTTTCTTTATCTATTTTATATTGGATAAATATTTTAGAAACTAATCTTTAATTAAAAAGGAAAATTAAACTAAACTTGAAACATGACATTTTCTTCACAATGAAGCTGGTTTCCTCACAATTCAGGCAGTGGGTTATAAAATTTGACATTTTAAAAAACATGTTTCATAACGGTGCAGTGTCCCCTCCCATCTTGTTTAAAGACTCTGGTTTGTTTCACAGATGCTTGGAGTTTTTTTTTTTTTTTTTTTTTTGCTGGTCTACAAGCATCACCATGAAACAGACTCCTGAATTCAGGTACTTAAACAGTTTTTTTCCACAATACCTTAATTTTGAAAAAGCATTTGTAATAATAATAATAATAATAATAATATTAATAATAATAATTATAACAATAATAATGTTTTTTTATATGAAACATCACAGTGTGCAGTGCATCACAGGGTCTATTGCTATGGTCTTGTTTATTCTCTTTTTGGTTTCTTGTGTCTTTGTATTGAGCGTGTGGTCTTTGGCGAATTCTAACCACAGGTTCTCTCTCTCAGACGAAAAAACATACTTGAGTGCACTAAAAATATACTTACTAGCAAGTAAAGTAAAATCTTATTTTTTACTAAATAATAGTTGTAAAAGATTTTTTGAATATAGCAATAGTGTACTACTTAAAAAACACATTAGCGTATTTCCTAAAAGTCTCATTTGAATGCTATAAAATAGTTCAATGTTAGTATTCTTTTACATTTTCTAAGTTTAAATGTAATTCAACCTATTTTAAACACTAAGAAGAATCTAATAAAGGATCTGAGAATCCTTGTAGCAAACTTACAGTGTGTGTGTGTTGTTTCTAGAAAGTAACCATTAGTTTGTGTTGTGTATTATTTAAATTTTTTTATATTCATTATTCATTTAATTATTTTATTTAATAAAATCTTTAGTCATTTATATAATTATCATTTTATTGATTATTACATCATGATTTGATTATTATTATTGATTATTATTTATATGAATTATAACCTTTTTCCTATAATTATTGCTTTGTTATTATTTTATTTCTCCATATTGTTATACTCTTATGACTGTGTGGATTAAAGCGACTTGTTTTCATGAGTAAGAGATAAGAGAATGTCTCTATTTCAAGGTTTGCAATGTTTTAATGTTCTGATGCAATTATTATCCATTGCTGTTGCTTGTGCTATGATAACACTTGTTGGATTTATTCTGGTCAGACAAAATCTGGGCATTGAATCATACGCAACTATATAATACTTCTCTTTCTTTATCATCATTACTTTGTCTCCTGCTTCTGCTTTTTTGGCTTTCTCAAACAACTCCTATTTTGATAGGAGATTGGTAATTCAGTTGAATACTGGTTAACAAATTTGGGTATTGGGCAGCTCAGCTGGCTTGTTGTCTGGATAGAGAATCAGACATTTTTTGACAGGATCTGATGTCTGAGGCTAGATTAATGTGGCACGGGGGATGTGTTCTAACAGTTAGTAGATACATATTACCATTATTATATTATTGCAATAGTTCCAATGTGCAACTTTGTACATCAATTACCACTACCTCAAAAGTGCACTAAAATATTTTTAATTTAAGCACACTTACATTACTCTATTTCCCCAAACTAATTAATGTGCTGAAAAGTGCACACAATGTGCTGTGTGTATTGATTTCCCTGAGTCACATGATCAGTGAAGCTTTACTTTCAGTCCAATCACATATGCATTTCACTTTGTGTCCTAAAAGATTTTTACCGCAGATTTTGCTTAGGGAGTCCTTGTTGGCTCTGGTTGATGGGTTTGTGATGCGAGTGCTGTACTTCAAAAGTTAACCAATATATTACATTTAAACAAACATTATTTATTTACTAATGTGTGTGTGTTTGTGTGTGTGTGTGTATGTGTGTGTGTGTGTGTGTGTGTGTGTGTGTGTGTGTGTGTGTGTGTGTGTGTGTGTGTTTGTGTGTGGAGTAGCCTATTAGATCATTTTGAGTCATAATGTAGGCCAGTGGTGCACGAGAACCTGCAGCATACATTGGCGTAGTAATTGATCATGGAGGATGATTTACAGTACAAACTCAACATGTATTGACATGTTGTGCTCTAAGAAAAAAGGCTCAGCCATCACACTATCCATGTTTACGTGTACTTTGTCATTAAGATTGACAGATTTTACTGAATCAGGTAAGCTGAATTGGGCTACATAACTAATGGATGGTGTGGCTCAGTGGTTAGCACTGTCGCCTCACAGCAAGAAGATCACTGGTTTGATCCTCGGCTGGGTCAGTTGGCATTAAGTGTGGAATTTGCTTGTTCTCCACATGATTGCGTGGTTTTCCTCTGGGTGCTATGATTTCCCCCACAAGTCCAAAGACATGCGCTATAGGTGAATTGGGTAAGCTAAATTGTCTATGGTGTATGTGTGTGAATGAGTGTGTATGGGTGTTTATAGTGATGGATTGCAGTTGGAAGGGCATCCACTGTGTAAAACAGATGCTGAAAAAGTTGTTGATTCATTCTGCTGTCGCAAGGGACAAAGCTGAAAAGAAAATGAAGGCATGAATGAATATTTATGTGTGTTGACCCAGTTAACCCAACTGTCTTTCTATGTATATTAAAAATAGTTTTGAAATGTTTTTTTTTTTCTTCCGAAACAGAAAATTTTGGGATGTAGGCAAAGAAGTGCCTTTTATTCAAGATGAACAGATGCCAAAGAAACTAACACACTGCCTGAAATGGTTCTCTTGTACCCTTGTTGGCATGCTCGTCTTTGTCCTTGCACTCCTCAGTAAAGTGAGCTGCTTTATTGATCAATGTCTACTCATTTTGGATGATGAGGTAACAGCTAATCTATAACACTAAAAACTCTGTCATACTGAAATATTTTTTTGTCTTTACAGACATCATTTCTACTTTTGATAACATTTGGAAATAATCAAACAGAAATTGTTCCTTTAGACCAAAAACCGACTGCTCTACTTGCCATTGGGTTTGTTCTGGTCGGGCCAAGTGTTCTACTTCTGCTTAAAAGCACATGGAAGTTTATTTTCAAGAATGGTAACATGCCATCTAAAAAAACTGTTTTCTGGGTAAGCAGACATAATGTACCACCATAGAACCTAATTGTTTTAGCCATAACCTTTCTGACCCTGTCTTTTCCTCTATAGGTCCTTTGTGTTGAAATCCTGGTAGCATTGGGAGCTGCAGTTCTTACAATAGTAGCCATGCCACACTTTGACATTGTCACTAATGTGATGATCCTAAACAGCATAAGCATCCTATCTGCATTTTTTCAAGTGGATGCTGAGTTCCTCGGCAGAAAGAGGAAGCATCTTTTGATTCCCCCGTTTTTTTCCATTTTCTTTATAGTCCTGGGTTATGTGCTGTTTGCAGTGAACTATCTGGTATTTGAAAGTTCTCTCCGCGTATCAGTAGGACTTGCTATGTTTGGGACCATCTGTGTTTCTGTGAACTGGTGGGAAAACTACAGCCCACTTTTCACCATCCTGTCCCTAAAGAAGATTTCCAAAGACATGGTGAAGTCCAGTAATGCGGTGAACATCATCTCCAGTTTGACAAGAATCCTGATTACTTCAGCTGTGATTGGAGCTTATGTCGCTCTAACAGGTGATGGCTGGAAATCTGTCAAAATCATCTTCGAAACGGTTGTCATTGCATTGGTTGTCATCCAGACTCTATCCTCAGCCTTGTGTCGCTGGTTTGTGGTTGTGGCTTGCAAGATGCACGCTTTGCGCCGTAGCTTTGTTATGCCCATGTACTTTGCCTCAATCATCGTTTTGGCAGTGTTTTTGTCTCCACTTATTTACAGCCTCCCATTGTCTAATAACACTTCAATCACTCTAGAAAAAAGTGAATCCAGTACAGAATGGGTGGAGGTTTTGCTGACAGATGCTATACAAACTTTACTAACTAGGGACATTGTGGTAAACATGAAAACAGAAGGACTGGTCTGTTTGGGCTGTTCTGCTCTCTGCTGGTGGCTGGGGCTTGTGCTCAGCACAATTTACATCTGGTTCCTGAAGATCCATCGAATTGAAAGAACCCAAGATCTGTTTGTGCAACGGATGTATGAAGGAGCGTTTTTGGAGCAGTCCTTGATGCTGAACACCCGTTTTGAAATCGGAAAGAAAATCAAGGAGAATGAAGTGTAGGTGTTTCACCTTTTTAGAGTCTGCTCATTGCATAAAATGATATTTGTTGTGATTTTAGTATCAGACACATCCTTTATCAGTCATCAACTTTTTCTAAATTAAAGCATTTTACATAGTAACATGTTTCCTTAACATTTACAAACATGATCTCTGAAATTTAGCAAAAATTGACATTAATCAAGTTTTTGCATTTGCTTATATGTTGCGTTTAAGAAAAAGACTTTTGTCACACTTGTAATACTTCTAGTGTTTTAACATTTAAAACTATGCTCACGTTTACTAAAATACCAAAGCCTGCAAAAAGCCTTCATCGATTTCAATATGAATTCAAACATTTGACTAGACTGTCCAAATTTAACTCATTTGTATTATGCCATTGCACTTTAGTAGCATTAAACTATTATTTCATGTATTTTACGCAAATTTTAAATAGGATACAAACCTTTATTTTGGATCACTTGTTGTTTATAACCTGAAGAATATTTGTTGTATGCTTTAGTGCAGAACCAACAAAAAAAATCAAAGTGTTTCTGTGTGCAACAATGTGGCATGAAACCTACGATGAAATGATGAAGATAATCATCTCCATGTTCAGGTAAAAATGCATTGACTAAACTCACTCAACCCAAGCAATCCATATGGAAATTTAATTTAAATGCTTTTTCATTTGCTGCCAGGCTTGATAAATATAGACCAAAACATGGAAAGCACAGTGATGTTGAGTTTGAATTTCATATTTATTTTGACGACGCTTTCAAGGATGTCAATAATGGAAGGGGGCGGCTTACAAATGAATACGCTGAAATTCTTGTGGACGTAATTAAAGAAATTTACATGTAAGAATCATCCTTTGTTCTATGTTTACTCAAGCTGTACAAAAACAAACCTACTAATAATTTGAATTCATTAGCATTTTTAGTGAGGAGGATCCATGTGTGTTCAAGGAGATGCCATCATTACCAAGCCAGAAGATCATACACACTCCTTATGGTGGTCGACTGGAATACACCCTTCCAAATGGCAATGTCATGATGGTTCATCTCAAAGACAAGCAACTTATCCGTCACAAAAAAAGATGGTCTCAGGTAAGATTCAAAAAGAGGGACTACATGTGGAATTCTGAATTTATTGTTTCCGATGTATTTCTCCTGACATGAATAGGAGATTGCTAGACAACCAAACACTCTGAAAACAGGCCAATGAATGCCAATGAGTTGGCAGAGCTCAGCTCCGCAGGTACTGGTGATTATTCATTAGTAGAATATATAACCTGTGCACGCAGAGTGAGTGGTTACACTTTCGCTTCAGAGCCTCTCACATGATACAGAAGAGATCTTCTGCTTAGCTGTACAAAGCAGTAATTCCTGCAGTCCAGGCAACGACGAGAGGGGGTTGAATTGGGTTCCTTTCCTGTTCCCTGGGTGTTTTACTAGCAACTGAAAGAGCAGAATACCCTAAAAGTACAATTTGGTTGAACAACATGTTTTTTAAAAGATGTTGTTCCAACAGTGCGCTTCTGGATGCGGTAGCAGCCAAGGGGTACAAAGCGATTACCCAGGTGGAGCGTGCTACTGTGGTCAACCTTTACCTGCAAGGCATCACCACCTGGAGGGATCTGCCTAGACTATCGCCCAAGGCATGTAGATTATCCCTCTTGGCCAGAGTTTATACAGCCGTGGGCCGGGCTGCCTCCGCTTTGCACTCTATGGCCATCTATCAGCGCTACTAGACGTAGAAATTGGCTAAGTTGCACGAGGGTGGTTCTTCCCTGGGCTTAATGCATTAGCTCCGCACGGCGACCAACTCATGAGCACCAAGTTGGCCGCCAGTGCCCTGGGAAAGACGATGGCCACATTAGTGATCCAGAAGCCAGAATGGCAATGGTGGCATGTATATTCCATATGGGGGAATAAACGCTCCTGTTGCATGTCTCAGCTTGCCTACCGTCTGCTCCTTTGGAGTCACACGGGGTTGAAATTGTTGCTCTGGGCTCTCACAGCAGCTAGCTTTTTGAGGAAAATGGAGACTCCACTCCAGTGCAGTCCAGCTGATATAGGAGTAATTCTGGGAAACTTAGGTTTACCTGTTTGCTTTTGCTGAAATGTCTATTGCCAGTTGCTTTATGACCGAGGCCCCTCTTGGCATGGATGCACTGGCTTAGAACTAGTCCTGGGCATTCGCAAATATGCGTTTTGCCCAGTGAGCCTACCCGCACATACCTTGTGCAAGGTCAGGGAGGATGAGGGGCAGGTCTTATTAGTTACGGCTCTATGGCCCAACCGGACCTGGGTTTTCAAACTCACACTCCTCGGGACAGCCCCTCCCTGGGGTGGAGCTCACTGGAGCACCCTCTGGCACCCGCGCCCAGATCTCTGGAACCTACATATGTCGTCCATAGATGGAGCAGGGTAGACCTAGGTGACCAACCAATATAGGTGGTTCAATGTACGTTCTTTTGAGCAACTCTTTATTCGTTACAGTGATTGACAGAATGGAAATGCTGTTACAAAACAGAGGTTGGCCTACTGGATAGTTGATGCCATCACCCTTGCCTATTAGTGCCAGGATGAGTTACAATCCCTGAGGGTGAGAACACACTCAACAAAAATTGTTGCCTCCTTTTGGTGTTAGCATGCAGCACCTCTCCCACAGATATCTGTAGAGCTGCAGGCTTGTTGACACTTACACATTTGCGAGATTTTCTCATTTTTGAGTGGAGCCAGTTTCCTCCCGATTACTAGGTAACTCTGGTCAGTTAGGAGGAAACTAAGCTTGGTGTCAAAAACGCTTACTGTGCCATGCTCCCTAACTCGGTGATATGTGCACTTATTCTGCTCTGCTAAAGTAAGTTCCATATTTAGCGAACCCTAGAGAGTTCTTCCGAGGCCCCAGCACCTGAATCATCAGAGGAGCTGGGTGCCTGGCCCAGTACAATGTCTGGTATGCCCACTTGGTCTACCAGAATGCTGAGGTTCAGTGCCAGCCATGTGCAATCCCTGTTGTGATCCCTTATGCGTCATTCAGCCATGGAGTATTCCCCGTTCTCAGACAGACCCATGACTTCATGTGTCTTGTCCATGTAGTGTTGTCCATCTGTAGCACTACCCTAGCTAGGGCTAGCCCATATGTCCATATTTCTGTCAGGTCTCCCTCACATTGGGTAGCAGGTGGCCTCTGCTGCATTATCCCACCTTTGTGGACTGGCACGCTTTCCCAATGTACTGTCGTGTTTTCAAAATCCCTAGACTACAAATAACCAAGTAAAAGCACATTTATTATGCCCTATCTAAATTCTTCTAAATATTCCTATATAATGGTAATTATAGGGCCTAGAAGACATTGGAAGGACATTGCGCCCTTGGTGATGCTTGTGCACTCATGCTTTGCTTGGCAAACTTCACATCAGGGTGTGACAGGATTAGCTGCTGTGGCATTTTTATACACTTTTAAATTCGTGTTGGAAGACACACATCGGAGTTCCCAAACGGGAATGTCTTAATTACTAATGAGTAAAGTGTAATCGCTCGCTCTGCGTGCACCAGTTATATACTCGACTAATAAATAATCACCAGCCGCTGCAGAGCTGAGCTCTGCCAACTCATTGGCATTTATTGGTCTGTTTTCTTACTCTTCAGAGTGATTGGTCATCTAGCGATCTGTATAATCAAAAAATCGGCAACACCAAAGCTCCAAAAACTACCAATTTATTCAATCAAAAAGGCTAACACAAAGCAAGTAATGTTTCGAGCACACCAGCTCTTCATCAGACCTCCCATAGTAATCTCCTATTTATGTCCGAAGACACACATCCCTTTCCCTCAACAGGGAACGTGGGTTACGTTACTAACAAGATGGTTTTTGTGACACCAATGGCTGATAAGTAAACTGCAGCCTGCAAATGAATGCATATGTTACCTACATATGAAACCTACTGCAATGTCATTGTGTCATGCAAATAAAGGGGTTAGTTTACCCCTTAATCTACATGACACAATGACGTTACAGTACATGACTCTTTCGGCACTACCCTTAACACTGTATAAGCGTAACAATAATTTCACTAACCATTTATGTTTTCAAGATAATGTACTTGTATTACATTCTTGGCTGGAGACTCAACAAACAGTACTATGAAAACCTTAAAGCAGGTGAAGAACCGGAACTCATTAAGAAGAAACTGAAGGTTATAAATTTACCTTTATTGGTTTTAACTTCTAGCATTTAGATGCTATCTCTGAAGCATTAATTGTGCATTACATGCTCTTTTAGAGTGACAGGGAGAACACATATATCCTGGCTTTGGATGGGGATACTGATTTCCAGCCATCTGCAGTCATGCTGTTAATTGACAGACTTAAAATATACCCAGAAGTTGGAGCAGCCTGTGGCAGGATTCATCCAACAGGAACAGGTTGGATATTTATTAAGCATAGACTAGCGGTGTCCAAACTCAGTACTGCATGCACCACTGTCCTGTAAAATTTTGCTTGCCTCAACACATCTGTCTGGAAGTTACAAATATGCCTAGTAAGACATTGATTAGCTGGTTCAGGTGTGTCTAATTGGGGTTGAAGCTAAACACTGAAAAACACAGGCACTCCAGGACCAAGTTTCAAAACTCCTGAACTAGGGCAAGACCTAAATTATGTGGGACAGAAGCCCTCCAGGCGCAGGTATAGATACCACTTTTATAAACCATAATAGGGCAGGGATGGGCAGTTTCAGTCGTGGAGTACCACTGCCCTGCTGAGTTTATCCACTGCCATATCACCCCACAGGCCAACACTGCTTACTAATTGAAGCTAAGCAGGGCTGAGCCAATTTAGAACCTGAATGGGAGACCTCATGGAAAAACTAGGTTGCTGTTGAAAAAGGTGTTGAAACTGAATTCTGCAGTAAGGTAGATTTCCAGGATAAAAATGATTGGACATTCCTGCTCTTAGGAGTAGGGGTGGAACCCTGGTGTTCTGGCCAAATTCCCTCCATCGACCCTTAACCATCATGTCCTCCCAATCATTCACATCCACTGATTTGGCAGCTTCACGGGTTCTCCTCTCCACCTGCAGCAGGGCAGTGGCCCAATTATCCTGTGACGGCCTTTACATCATCCAGATAGATACTGCACATGGGTGTTAGTAAAGGGAAACCTCTTTATGCAATTGTAAAGCACTTTAGATGTATAGCAAAACAATAAATGCACTGTATAAATGTACATCACTATTCACAGCACCTATGCATTTTGGCAAAACTTGATCAGGGTGACATTATTTGGTGCATATGGATGAAGACAAGTTTTGCTAAAATGTGTAGATGTCTTTTTTTGAATACTAGCCATGTCAATAAAATCTTTTTATATTTTCACCTTCTTTTCAAGTGCCTTGGGCTCATGATTTATTTACATACAGTTGTGTTGGATTAAGGATGAAGCTTAACACTGAACAGTGGCATTCAAAGACTAGAATTGCTCAGTGATTTTTAGGGGCTATGTTAAAAATTGTCCATTAAATCCAATCAAATCATGGTCTGATTAGTACTCATATGTTGTGTTAAAAGATAAGATGACCAAAGTAATTTCTTCTCTTCGATTTTAGGACCAGTGGTGTGGTATCAAAAGTTTGAATATGCTGTAGGCCACTGGCTACAAAAGACTGCAGAGCATGTATTTGGTTGTGTGCTGTGCAGCCCTGGATGTTTTAGTCTTTTCAGAGGAGCTGCACTCATGGATGACAACGTCATGAAGAGATACACAACCAAAGCCAGTGAAGCCAGCCACTATATCCAGTATGATCAAGGTAAGTTATTGACAAATAATATCAGTTCTTGAAGACCACTGTCCAGTAGAGTTTTGCTCCATGCCTAAACAAATACCTGAAAAATATTTTCAGGATTTCTTACAGGCAGGTGTATTTGATTAGAGGTAAACTCTTATGGGTAGTGAACTTTCATGACCAGAGAAGCTCAACTCTGATCTGGACTAAACTAATTTCTTTGGTGTAATGTTAGGTGAGGACCGCTGGTTGTGCACTCTACTGCTGCAGCAGGGTTGGAGAGTGGAGTACAATGCAGCATCTGATGCCTACACCAATGCTCCACAGGATTTTAAAGAGTTCTACAACCAACGCAGGCGCTGGGGACCTTCTACCATGGCCAACACTATTGACCTCCTGGGCTCAGGACAACTGACTGCTCAGAGGAACAGCTCTATCTCAAAACTTTATATATTGTACCAAGTTATCAGCATGGCAGCTTCCATCTTAGGTCCTGCTACTATTTGCCTCATGATATCAGGTAAAGTCAAGAATAGGGATAAACCAATGTATTGGTTGCTGTCATTGAACTGACAATACTAATTTAATTTGAAGTTATTAGCATATTAGCATAGATGAAAATATTGAGCTCACCCAGGATGTAAATGGAGTTGAGCGAAATCAATGATTTGTGACTCCGAAGGAGCAGATTGCAAGTGACCAGTGACATGGGGTGAAAGAGTGCACTCGGCTGCCCTTTTCCCTGCCAGGAACTCCTGGGCAAAGTCCCTGGCAGTGTCACCGAACAAGCCAGCCTGGCATATGAGGGTGTTAAGAAGACAAACTTTGACTTTGTCCCATATGTCAACCAGGTTAAGCCAAGAATGTTGTTCCTGGACCACAAGCATGGCCACCACTCTGCCCATGGCACAAGCAGCTGATATAAAATGCATTGTCAGTCGCTTGAGAAGGAATCATCCTTGTGCACTTGGCAAGAGTATCGTTGATGGATAACCATGGCATGCAGGGCAGAGGTGGCCTGGCCTACAGCAGTGTAGGCTCTGGCTGTGAGGGATACAGAAAACCGTAGAGGATGGTGAGGGCAGAAGAGCTCAAGGACGAACAGAAGGGGACAGGACTTGTGAGGATTTTAATCTTTTCACCCATCTAGTCAGTCCAACTGCTGAGTTGGAGGTTTACCTCCAACCCAATCGCCAATGCTGCCTGCAACATAAATATCCTGTCTGATTTAGGGTCCAGGCAAACAGCCATGTAGGCGACGGACCCAAGCATCCCTTGGAACATGATAACTCACTCCAATGGCGCGAAGAACATCTGTGCTCCAGAGTCATTGGATGTGAGTGAAGCCATCCCAAAGGATAAACCGACACACTCATCCAAAACATGAACAAGGGGAGGTCCACAGAAAGTTACCCAATGGATTAGCCCTCACTACAATCATGCTTTGCATCAGCCATGATCTAAGCATACCAAAAGACATTTCCTATCACTGTGGGCATGAACTGCTCAGCAGCGCTGCATCATCAGGCTGGACTCCCACACATAGGATACAGTGAAGGGAGAGAAGACCCTGCTCAACTGCCATTGAATGTACTGTCACAAACCCTAGCAGACAAAGGAATACTTGAGCTCTGAAAGTCAGGAGCTCAGTTGAAATTGTCTCTTGTTCTTCAGAGGCAAGAAGGCAAAGAAGCGAAAACTAGCTATCCGAAGCTATCTGACCTAGCTAGTACTGTATGCAATTAGCCAATATTGTTAGCAGTGTTAAAAGCATTAAAATATCTTAATTGTTGTTAAAACCACTGTCATTGAAAACTTAAGCATGTCTTTTAAAATTAATGTTAACATCTGGTAAACACAAACCAACCTTACTCACTGCTCATTGACCCAATGGCCAAACGTCATCTTGGTGTCAACAATGGTGCTATGACCCATCATCAGACAATTAAAACCTATATGCCCAGGCGGCAAGCGAACAAGTTCATATGTTCTAGTATCAGTCTTTATGGCCAATGGGGGCCAGTGGAATAGAGTGAGGAGTCAAGTGTTATAACAAGGAAACTGAAAACCATAAACTACAACAGCAGTTGCTAGTGTACCTCTTCAGGAGATTAAGATTTACATGCACAGCTCTTATTACCTAGCCTCTATTACATTAAAAAATAAGGCAAAATGTTTCTATAGCCACATCTGTCTAAATGTGCTTTGTTTATTTTGCAGGAAGCTTTGTTTTCATCTTTAACATGGAGGAAAATAGTGCACTTGCTTTGGCTATAGTGCCCCCTACAGTCTACCTCATCCTGTGCTTCAAACTGAAATCTGATGTGCAGATTACCATTGCAGCAATCATGAGCCTTCTCTATGCATTTCTGATGGCAGGAACAGTTCTCTCCATCATTGGTAATGACTGTGTTTTAAATGCAATTTTGAAAAATACCATATGATATAGTTAGATGATGAATTTTGCTCACATACACTAGCATTTGATTTTAGATTAATAGATTTTTACACATCATCTAAATGTAATGTTAATTTTTTATTTATCAAACCATCTTGAAAAATATTAAATGGTAGTTTCTATTTTAGACTGATAATATAATATAATATAATATAATATAATATAATATAATATAATATAATATAATATAATATAATATAATATTTGGCATTTACATATGCTAATTTAACTGTGTAATTTAAAAGTACAATCTAAATCTGCTCATCGACTAAAAAGCAATCACATTTCCAAAGGTTTCTCTAAAAATGCATGTCCAGAATTAGTTTAACAACCAGTGACAAATGCACCTCTTACATTTCTATCTTTTGTTTTTCCAACACCCATAGGAGATTTAGTGAAGCAAAATACTTTTATGACCCCTAGTGGTCTGTTTCTTATTGGCATGGTCATACTGTACCTCACCACAGCAGCTTTGCACCCTAAGGAGTTCTCAATGGTCATCTATGGACTGCTATACTTCATCTGTGTTCCTAGTGGCTATTTGCTCTTAGCCATTTACTCCATTGTCAACATGAACAATGTCTCATGGGGGACTCGTGAATCTGGCGTCCAGGTGAAGACTTCTGCATTAGACAACATAAAAAAAAAGTTCATGAAAGCCACCTGCTGCAGATGTCCATGCTTTGAATCTGAGGATGAAATGAACAAGGAGGTATTACAAGCAGAAAATACAAATAAAACTGAAATGCTACAAATGACATTGAAAATACAAAGGTAAGAATGTTTGGCGTGTTTTAAAGTTTTATGGTGTAGTGTTGTAATGTATAGATTTTTAAAAATTAAAGTAATAGCTGTAAGATTATTTCTAATATTGATATTGTATTCTTCCTATGTAGTGCAAATGACTTCGCAATCAATACTCATAAAAGTATGTATTTTAATATTTCACATGTAAAATTGTTAATATTATAATATAGTAGCTGTGAAAGTTTAATGATCTGATTATTAAAAATATTACAGGTGTAGATAAACAAACTTGGATTGAACATTTGCTGCCGAAATTTGGTTTTTGCTTGACACCAGAATCTGAACTTTCTATGGTAAGACAAATTGGTTAAACATGTTATATTATATTATATTATATTATATTATATTATATTATATTATTGTCACCCTCTACGAGGAATGCCTATACCCTGAAGTGGAGTCTATTTGCTGAGTGGTGCGCTTCTCACGAGAAGACCCCTGAACTTGCCAGATTAGCATTGTGTTATCCTTTCTTCAGAATAAGCTAGAGCGTTGGCTGTCACCCACCACACTGAAGGTTTACATGGCTGCCATCTCCGCTCACCATGACGCGGTGGATGGCAACATCCTCAGGAAGCTTAATCTAATCATACGATTCCTTCCAGCCCTTTTCCTGTTTTGTGTGTGTTAAGTACCAAAGTAATGGTGTTGAAAACTGGATAATTTTGAACTTCTGTGAGCTAATTTCATCTTCCGAGTTTAAAATCATTTATTATGGTGGGATTAAAACTGGTGATGTATCGATATCTGCCTGTCCAGTGATGACGTGTTAGTTCCCCTTCAGTGGGACTGCTGACGTGTGTGTCTGGAAGACACTTTGAGAGGACGCTAGCTGACCAATCACTCTGAAGAGTAAGAAAACGCTGATGAATGCCAATGAGTTGGCAGGGTTTGGCTTTGCAGGTGCCAGTGATATTTAATCCTAAAGTATATAATGGGCACATGCAGAAAGGGCAGTTAGATCTTCGTCTTATTAAAGATGTCGTTCCAACTGTGAATTTCTGGATGCTGTAGATTTCTTGCCCTGGATGATAGACGCGAGTACTGCATCACATGTCTGGGGTCCAGCATGTTGCGGCGGTGCTCGAGGACAGTTCTTGCCCTCACTGTGAGTGCTTGACTGTTCTGCAACTGAGGTTGCAGCACACCAGCATTAGGGGACCTGATGCCCATCGCTGCATTGGAAAGTGAGTTAACATGTTCCGATGTCAAACTGGACCCGCTGTCACTCTCCGAGATTGACAGTGAGGTCCTGTTAGAGTCGGACATGTTAGCCATGTTACCCTAGGCTATCTCGGCAGTGAAAGAGCAGTCGAATGCGATATGTGAAGTCATCTATCAGCACTCTCAGAAAACTTGGCATGTCCTTAGACCTGCTCCGCCTCTTCAGCCCGCTCCACTGGCCTTTTTTTAAATTCTGAGCTAGACTTGAACTGATAGGGGGGGTTTCATGACCCTTTAAATTACTTTTTGTCTTACAGGATGAAATCGATTTCTGGATAGATTTGCAGAAAAAATATCTAGAACCTCTAAAGGAAAATAAAGAACAACAGGAAAAAATAGCTAATGATCTTAGAGAACTTCGAAATAAGGTATGTCTCATTATTTTATTCCAAAAATAGTTGAAGATTTTACTTTACTTTCTCTGAAACTGTATAGATTTGCCCTCATGCTGTTTTGCTTTTTAAAATATAGGCTACATTGGTATATTTCTTCTGCAATGCACTTTGGCTTGTGGCAACTTTCTTTCTTCAAGCAATTGGTGAAGCCGTCTATATCAAGATCCCAAAAATCTATCCTAATGGGACATATGCTGCAAAAGAACTTTTGTCCCTTGATCCAATTGAACTGATGTTTCTACTTGGCTTTGCAGGACTGCTGCTAATGCAGTTTTTTGCAATGCTTTACCACAGGTAACTTGCACAAAAAAAAAACAAAAAAATTACAGTTAAACAGTCACTGATAAAGATGCTTGTTTTTTCTATATTTTTGATTGAAATTTGCTTTTGCTTTTCACCACACCACCAAGTGGAGATTATGCTATCAATGCAAAGTATGAATATATATATATATATATATATATATATATATATATATATATATATATATATATATATATATATATATATATATAAATGTTGTTATGTCCTTGTGTTTCAGAATCTACACATTAATCCATTTTGTGGCATATGCTGAAACAGAAGAAAAAGCCCCGAGAAAGAAGGTAAGTCAATGAATTGCCCAAAGAAATTTTTCATTTTTTGGTTTTTATTATTCTTTCTTTCAAACTCCACTGTGTTCACATTTTGCTAGGTTGCACAGATCGTGGACGACAATCATGAGACTTCTGAGGATGACACAATATGTTTTGAGAACCCCTATGTTATGACAAGACATATAACTTATGTATAAGATTTTGGATTTACCTCTCAGTTAATAAGGTAGAGCAAATATAGTTGTTTAAATATTTGTTTAAAGAAAAAACTTTAATGCCTTCAAATTTGTAAATGACATTATGCTAATTAAAGGTATCACATGATTGTTACAGACTAAAGCCTTAAATGTTATTGATATTACGAGTGGTGTATCAAGTCAATTACAAGTCAGTTGTCACGATATAGAAGACAACACAGGACTCAGGATTGACCGAACTTGCATTTCACTAGCTTCAAATATAGATGGGGTTCCCAGTATTTCTGAAGGACCTGCATGACATGGGGGTGATGATAGGTTAGGTATATCAGAATAGTATTGATGCAAACAATGGCAAAAGGATTGAGGAAGAGGTTGGGAAGATGGCTGGGGAGATGGAGAGTCCATACAGCATAACCTACAGTAGGCAGCCATTTTTTATCTTCGGTCTGAGGCAGGCTGCAATGGCAAGCAGCACCAAACCTATCGAGCAACTCAATTAGCAACATTGGATATGCATCAAATTTCAACACAGCATTTATTTTGCAATTATCCACACAGAACCAGACCCATCATCCATCAGGCATCCGCCTTGGGCACTAAGACAATTGAGCTAGCCCAGTTGCTTTGGGACTTGCTAGCCCAGTTGCTTTGGGACTTCTCTGCTACCCCCATATCCAGCATATTCTCCCATTCTTCTTGAACCATTTTTTTATGTTTTTTAATGTTCCGCTAAACAATACAGAACTGTTTTAACTACCACGCCTGGTTTAATCTCTATATGGGGCTGAATCAAGTTGGTTTGTCTGGGCAAGGGTGAGAACACATCTGCAATATCAAGCTGGAGGTGCTGAATGTTGATGAGCAGAGTGTGTGAGAGAGGATCACCCCTAGTGATCAGAACAACAGGCCAATCACAGCCACTGCTGTCTGATCCCAGGTCTTCCTTGTTTGTTTGTTTGTTTGTAACCATTGTCGCCTCCGGCTCCCTCCACTGCTTTAGCAGATTTAAATGCTAAATTTGGTGTGCCCTGCTTCTGTCTGTATCCAAAACTTCATTATCAAGCTCCGCAACTCTTCATGTGACCACGAATCGCTCTTGCCAATTGGTCAGTAATTTTGAACCAGATGAAGGAAGCAGTACAAGCACTTTATCTCCCGGTGCAAATTAAAGTAATTTAGTGCCTCATATCGCTAGCACTTTTTGATTCTGAGCCTTTTGGTAAATTCTGAGCAAATTTTGGTGTTTCTCACCACTGCATAAAGGTATTATGGGAATTTGCCAGTATCTTTTTGTTAAGTCCGATGTCAAGTAAAAGTAAGCAGCACCCAACCAGTTGAGCAACTCAATTTGCAACATTGGATATGCGCCAAAATTTCGACACATCATTTAATTTGCAATTATCCACACAGAACCAGGCCGAGCCATCTTTCTTGGGCACTAAAACAATTGAGCTTGCCCTGTTGCTTTGGGACTCCTCTACTAACCCCCTAATTCAGCATATTCTTCCATATCTTGCATTGGGGACCGGGATCAGGGCATGATCCCCACTCCCTTTGCCAGACCTCCCCGCTGTACCCCAAGGTAAACAGGACCAACTGATTGAGTTGGAGAGAGAAAAGGTGCTGTGTTGGTTGTTGCTGGTAGCCTTGACTCCACTCTGCCTTCTTTTGTGCCCACCCTCCGCTCCCTTAAAATGCCTCCTGGGCATTGGTCTGGGTGCCCGGTGCATTCTGGACCTGGGAATGAGGATAGGTGGAGAGACAGAGAGAGAGAGAGAGAGAGAGAGAGATAGAGAGAGAGAGAAACAGCATGGCTGACTTCTGCTGTGGTTAGTTCAACAACCCTAGAACTTACTACCAGATCACCCTTTGCCACATGAATTCCAGGTCAAGCCCAAGGTCTCTGGCTTTTGACCCAGTGTTTGGGAGGGAAGGTGGGTGAAGAATTGCTTCAGTATGATGCCATCAGTGACCTAGTTGAATCTCTGAGCATCCTGCACTAGCCATCTGTGGCAGACTTCATAGAGCTGCTGAGCAAACACGAAAGTCCGGATGATGGCTCACTTTAAATTGGTGTTGACCCGGAGATTCTGGACCAGTAGCTGGTGAGCGGCAATCTGGGCTTTCCATCAGATCTATTACTGAGAAGCAGGCAGTGGGTGAGGCTAACTGGTGAGCATCTTCAGGTACAGTATATGGCAGATAGCTAGTACTTGGGAAATATGGGTGGCTCATTGGACCAAGGCGTCCAGGCCAAAGGTGTCATCAAAGATCACCATATCACCATATCACCATAACTTTGATGCCATTACTCAATCTTTGTTGTTAGGTTCTCAAAAGAGCTGATTGCTTGCATCCACTAGCTACTGCCAGAGTACAAAATTGGAGATTGTAGTCTGTGATGACGAATAATCCTTGAGAGTGATGGAAAAGTTGCTCTGTGGTACAGTGCTCCAGTGGCTGTACTGAAAACTTCTGCAAAGTGGTTCATGAAATGGGAATAAAGCTTAATGATAACTTTGTTAGCGGTCTATACTGCCTTTGCCCAAAACAGTGCTTTACCAGTAGTAAGATGAGAAAAAAACTATTTAGAGCTCTCTACGGGGAATTAGGGGAGTAAGAAAACGGAAAGTGCCACTGAGAAAGGCAGATGTAGCTGTCATAGGTCCCAGAGCTGAAATGAGAGATGCTTTAAGAGCTGTAACCATTTCAATGAAGTGGTTTGGGGGTAAAGGTGGTTGGGAATCCATGGGTTAGTGATGAGGTTCGGATTTTTGTCACAATATAGCAAACAACAGACAGAAAGAAGTGCAAAACAGATTGGTTTAATGACAAACTTGAGGAATGAAATGCAGATTTGGTAATGGCTACTGAAAGTCCTAGTTTTATCTATTTATGATGAATTGCGGGAGTGTAGAATAGGGAAACGGGATAAACATCCAGGGAAGACAACGGTGAACACTAGTATACAGGAAGAAGGAGTTAGTCAGGTGAGTTTGGGTAAGTGAACTGTAGACTGGATGACATGTTCTATATTTATGTCTTTGTAAGTGATGCTGATTAGGGAGTGCACAGGTAACAGGAATCAAAGCGTCTAGGATGCTGGGAATTAAGTAGGGGCGTGGCTGGTGGTGAATGCCTGCCATCAGTACATCATTTCTAAATTATTATCATTTCAAATATCTTCATGTTCTATTCCTGAAAGCAGTCAATAACAAGAAATTGAAAAGTTATACAAACATTTGAAATAAAAGCATTTTATATCTTCCAGACCCAGAGCCTCCAGATCTAGACCCAGAGTCTTCAGACCTAGAGCTTCTAGTGCCTGATCAAGGCCTCCTTTGCTCCATGGTCCATACACACTTTCGAACCACAGACCTGGCTCTCCATCTTACACCCTGTTCCATCACCCTCCTTGACTCTTTGTTTTTCTGTTCATTTGAAATTCACACTTTTTAGGCAGTATGGGGTTTTCTGCTACATGTCATGTTCCTGGTTGTGTTTGTTGTATTTTTGCTTCGCCCTCTCCCCTTGTTTCCTGTGCCATGCCCCTTTTGAAATAAGCCCCTTTGCTTTTCTTACTATTTTTAAAAACGTAATTTAGTCATGATTTATTGCTGTCTATGTTCTTAGATCCTGCCTTGTTTTGTTCAATAATTATTTATTATGATAAACAAAGATGATCAGGAAGGCGGATCAATATTGCACTAGGGATGGGACAAAATTCAGTGCATTTCGATTCTTTCTCCAATGATTCTGAATCGATTCTGAAAAGTTAACAATTGATTCTTTTTTCAAATTAGTCAAAACAGAAGAAGACTCCAAACAGAAAAATAATAAGCGTTTATAGGTGTGAGGTGTGGACCAGTGTGGAACTTTTGATCCGTTGTGTGACCGGCTTCAAGACACTGTTCAAAATACTTCTGCCACTGAAAGTGAAATCTTTTCATCATAAACATGATGATGCTGTGCCACACTGCACCACTGACCTGGTGTGCCAGTGGTTTTGAAATCACTAAAGGAGGCACGTAATACATGGACACCAATTACAGAATCGTAGGTCATCATTACAACACACTCAGTTATGAGTGAAGGCTGCCGGCTTGTGTTCTGCAAATGCAGGTTGTGAATGAAACTGAATTAAGTCTAAAGCACATAGTTTTGAAAAATTACAATGTTTTAAAGCTTGTTTTATGCTTTAAGCTGAATACTAGTATCTTGCTGAATACTTGGTAAAATATCATTTACTGACAATGACAAGGATGAAACAAATTAGTTATTAAAATGAATGTTATTGAAAATTGTTTTCTCTCATAGAAAGCACTTAGGAATATTTTAAAAAGAATCATTATTTTGCAAGAGAGCTAATAATTTTGCCTTCAACTGTACACACACACACACACACACACACACACACATATATATATATATATATATATATATATATATATATATATATATATATATATATATATATATATATATATATATTCCTCATTATAATACTACCTTTTTTGGAATATGACTGTTTGTCCTTTATATATATTTTTTGTAACCTGTTGTTTTAATGTTACTTTAGAGCCCTGGCCACACTGCACTTTTCACCCCATAGACTTCCATTCATACACACGTGAATGCGACAGATTGAAAACACAAGCTCGTGTGACAAGTTTTGCAGTTGGAAAGTTCACGCTTGTCGAACTCTGACCTGCAAAATTGCATCACATGAATGAGTAAAACCAATTAAAGGTCAAAACATGACCTCTCTGGACAGAAATGTAAAATATGGACCAATCACTCGCTTTTTTAATGTCTAATCATCTTGTTCAATCTTGTCACCTTACGCAAAGCAGTAGGACAGAATTTCGCAAGCTCAAACTCTAGTGTGACCATGGCATCAGAGCTTCCTGAATAATTCTTTAGTATAATAAATAATTGTTAAGATGCCTACTGGCATACAGAGCTTACAATCATTAAACACAAGCATAGAAACTCTAATTTTCATTCAAATGTAAAGTTGTAAAGATTTAAATGTACAGCAATAGAAAAAGGAAACATTGATTTTGAATCGTATCGTGACACTCAGATCTTCACCCCTATACTGCATTTGGATCCACCTCAGGACCTTTTTCAGGACACACAGAAAAAAATGTACTGCAACACTAACAAAGTATACAACAGCTGCTGCTCCGATTGCAATTTATGTATTACATAATATTACTTTTTAGTTGTCTGAAAGTAGTACTGGGGTCCAACTAAAGATATGTTTAGTATACTTTGTTGTGCTAAAGTGGAACTATTCCAAGTACGACGTTTATTTTATTGAAATATTAGAATTTATGTTATAATATTAAATCTGCACTTTATAACTTTAATAACATTGCAATTGCAAAAAAATTACACTTTAAGTGTAATTATGCATTACTGTTATACTTAGAGTAAACTTCTATTATATGAGTAACGCTTAAATTAAATTAATGTGCATTTTTATTTAACTAAAAGTGTCATTAAAATTTTTTCAAGCTAGGAAAATTGAACGCTTGTGGGAAAAAGTACAGTTGAAGTCAAAATTATTAGCACCCCTTTTATTATTTTTTTAAAAATATTTCCCAAATTATGTTTAACAGGGCAAGGTAATTTTCACAGTATGTCTGATAATATTTTTTATTCTAGAGAAAGTCTTTTTTGTTTTATTTCGGCTAGAATAAAAGCAGTTAAAAAGATTTTAAACACCATTTTAAAGACAAAATTATTTGCCCCTTTAAGCTAAATATTTTTTTGATAGTCTAGAGAAACCATCATTATAACTTGCCTGATTACCCTAACCTGCCTAGTTAACATAATTATCCTAGTTAAGCCTAGTTATATGTCACTTTAAGCTGTATAGAAGTGCTTGAAAAATATCTAGTAAAATATTATTTACTGTCATCATGGCAAAGAAAAAATAAATCAGTTATTAGAAATTAGTTATTAAAACTATTATGTTTAGAAATGTGTTGAAAAAAATCTTCTCTTTGCTAAACAACAGGGGGTCTACAGGGGGTCTAATAATTGAGGGGGGCTAATAATTCTGACTTAAACTGTATACTAAGTTGTGTGACAAAAATATTTTATTTTTAGCAGTACATTGCAAATATAATAACCAAAAACTTATAAATATGAAAAGTAACCCTTTAAAATAATTGTAATCTAGTATTTTAGAAAAAAATATACTTCAATTAAAAGCAAAGTTTATTTTTTTATAAGTGTATTTATTTTGCGGTTGACGTAAATATATTTTTGTATAATTTTTTAATTATGCATTGAAAATTAACTTTGTAACATCGCATCAAAGACACACTTTCAAAGCTCATTTTTAAATAAGCAGTAGTTGTGGTATAATTTAGAAGCAAATTTTAAGTGTAGTTTTTTCATTCCTGCAATTCGTTTTCATTCCTGCAATTTGTTACTATTTTCAGAAAGTTATAAAACATGTCAAATGCATTGAAAGGTCATTTAAAAAATGTGTAATTAAGAAGTGTATACAAACATATTTACGTCCTTCAGCCTTTGTAAAGATCATATATGGATAATGTACTGAAAAACATTTTAATATATCTTGAAAAGTTCTATAAAATCACTCAAACCTAAGTAGTTATAAACTATGCAAATGTACAACTTAAAAATAAAGTCATAAATATTATTCGATTAAATTCTATTATCATATAATCATTAAAATATGTATCTTTCATCCCTCAATTTAGGATGGAATACCCATTTAAATAGTTAAAATCCTCCTTAAAATAAGCCTTTATTCATTCAATCCAATCTGATCATTCTATATATTTTCCTTGAGTAATGTGTTGGCCTATTTGTAATTACCATTCTCACGTTTTAATTAATTCTCACTTCATTACAAACCAGCAATGGTTTAACTTGATTATTTACTGGTTTAACCAGTAAATAATTACCATATAAAACATTAAGCAATTTCCCTGCTTACAATTACCATACCATGCCGTGAATTGTAAACACCAACGTTTCCTCGTTGTCATGTAAATTCCCTGAGCATAAAATCCCGGTGGAAAAAAAAGGCCCAATCAGAACACAGAATGGACAGAGTGTGTCCACAATATTTGCATGAAATTTAGGTCACTAAATCATTTAATAATTAGGTCACTATTTTTTTGGCTATGCCTAGGTACACCCAGATTTCTTTACAGGAATAACACTTACAGTTGAAGTCAGAATTATTAGTCCCCTTTGATTTTTTTTTTTTTAAATATTTCCCAAATAATGTTTAACAGAGCAAGGAAATTTTCACAGTATGTCTGATAATACTTTTTCTTCTGGAGAAAGTCTTATTAGTTGTATTTCGACTAGAATAAAAGCAGTTTTAATTTTTTTATGAACCGTTTTAGTCTTCAGAACAAACCATCATTATACAATAACTTAATTACCCTAACCTGCCTAGATAACTTAATTAACCTAGTTAAGCCTTTAAATGTCACTTTAAGCAATATAGAAGTCTTTAAAAATATCTAAATATTATTTACTGCTATCATGGCAAAGATAAAATAAATTCGTTATTAAAAATTAGTTATTGAAGCTATTATGTTTCATATCATGTATCTTCTCTCCATTAAACAGAAATTGGGGAAAAAATAAACAGGGGGGCTAATAGTTCTGACTTTAACTGTATATTCAAAATAATAAACTACTTGAGGAAAAGCTGCTTTGCTCAGTTTGCTTCTTCAGATTTAATGGTCAACTTAAATAAATAAATAAACAGAAATGGTTCTCGTATATTAAGCCTGCATTTTAGTAAAGCATTAATCGGCCAAAACATCAGGAATTTGACATATTTACTGTATTTAGGTGCGTCACATGTGCCTTTTGACTTCAGTTCTGCAGAATGACGTGCTAAGCCTTTTCATATCATTAGTCATTATTCATCATTCACACCTAATAATGTCAGTATTTATTCATTACCTTCATGGCATTTTAAACTACTGTTTAGCCCTTTTCTGATGAACAGGCTAAAGCACTTATTCATTTTGAACAAGTGATAAGCCTGAATCTAAACTCTCCAACTTTGCTTCTTTTTCGTTCCTGTTGATCTTTATAAATGAGGCCAAACTTTACATTCTGTCCCTCGTGACATTTCAAACATATGTGCTTTATTTGTCAATATTGTACAGTTAGTAGCCAACAAAAAAATTTATAAATTAGGAATCCTTTATGCATTCGCTCATTTCTGTTATTTTCAATCAGTTCCTATATTCAAATACAGAATTTATATGGTTTTACTGTTTTAAAATGTTTGCACTGTTGTCTTCATTCAAATTAATTTCACGAATTCTTAAAAACATTGAAAATAAGTATATGGGTGATTTATGAATAAAATAATAGTTCAAAGGATCAGGAGCTTATCATGTGAAAAAGATGATGCAAATTTCTTTTGAGGTTGTATATGTGTCTGTATTTTTATATATGTGTTTTTTTTTTTTTTTTTTAACCATAGAATACATGTATTAACAGCATTATTAATACATCCATGGAATAAAATATAATAATAATATAATAATAAATAAAAACATTTTAAGCAAGTACTGTGTTTCCTTGTTGTCATGTACACTCCGTGAGCATAAAGCATCTGGAGGAAAAAGGAAAACCAGAACACAAAATGGGTGGATCCATGTCCACATTATTTGCATGTAATTTAGGTCATGTTCTGAGTCATCCGTTGCCAGAAAAGATCATTAATATACATGTGCTAGGCAAAATTTCGAGAGTATAATATTGATAAATTAGTTTATTTTTATCTAAATTTATATTAAAATTCTTATTAAACCATTTTGCCATGTACAGAACACTTATTATTTGGCTATGCCTGGGTATACTCAGATTTTCTTTATAGAAATAACAATGTTCAAACAAATAAACATTTTGAGGAAAAGCTGCTTTGCTCAGTTTGCTGTATATATATATATATATATATATATATATATATATATATATATATATATATATATATACGATTGAAGTTACAATTATTAACCCCTGTTTATTTTTTCCCTAATATCTGTACAATATCCTGTATGCTTAACTAGGTTTATTAGGTTAACTAGGCAGGTTAGGGTAAATAGGCAAGTTATTGTATAATGATGGTTTGTTCTGTAGACTATTGGAGAAAAAAAAATCAGCTTAAGGGGGCTAATAATTTTGACCTTAAAATTGTGCTTAAAAAATTGCTTTTATTCTAGTCGAAATAAAACAAATAAGACTTTGTCCAGAATAAAAAATATTATAGGAAATAATGTAAAAATTTCCTTGCTCTGTTAATCATCATTTGGGAAATAAAACAGGGAAAAAAAAGGGGTGGGGGGGGGGGGGGGGGGTGC